TTAAGCTGGCACGTAGTCAAGAAACGAATGTACGACCACCGGCTCTCGCGCATACGTTATGAACGGAGAGTGACAGGTAAGACTAGGTAAAAACCGTTAACTGCCTCTATATTGGAATTAGAAGTATCGGAATGAGCTTTCGACGTTGGATATGTAAATATGTAGAAAAACACCGGCGTACTATTTTGTTCTCTGAGCTCTCCAATTTTCTTGAGTAAACTTAAAATTTATGTACATGGATGCAAATCAGAAACTCTTCTCTACCAAGACATGTTAGTCTTATGAAAAATATTACTATAACATTTCTTTACAAATAACTATTTCTTTTTTATATTTGAGAATTGGCGCGTCTAGAAACTAGCGTATATTCATAAATATCTATAACAACTTATCAAAAAATAAAATAAAAGCGTTGGAATTATATTATTTTGTATATTTATTATATAACTTTACATGTTATCTTCGATCTCGATAGCTAATAATAAAATCGTACGTGCTTGTAAATAGAAAGTGCCACTTTAGCTGCAGCTATTATATAATGCCGAGCATTTAATATTATCCTATTCCTTAGGCATAGCGAAATCGGAATTTCGAATTAGGCGAATCATTTCTGAATATTCATGTATCATGACTGCTAATTATTCTATGAACCGATAAAGATGCTCCAAAGCAGCAGTCATGATATATGAATATTCAGAAATGTTGCACCTAATTTGAAATTTCCAATATCATTATGTCTAGGGAATGCGACTCCATTGATGTACGTACACAGTACACTAAGTAGACGAAGTTCATGTTCTGTCCGACAGAGTTCAGTACTTTACAGTTGAGAAATATAAGTATGTCGGTTTACCATACTTATGTCGGGTTTTAGTGCTTTTCCTCTTTCTCTCTCTCTTCCATATATATATATATATATATATCGCCATTCAGAAATATATTTGGAAATATCATTATTTGTTACGCGCCGTAAGATTCAGTATAAAAAGGACTCGGAAAAAGTTTTGTTCCTCCGGTGGCCGATGCAATGAAAGAAAGGAAAGGTGCAGATAAAAAGAGAAGGAGAGGGGTCGACAGGCCGTAGTTGTGCTTTCTACCGTTTCCGCGGTTAAAAGGTACTATATCGCGGTTGAACACGCCCACCTAAAGCACCTGCTAAGAGCCTTTCCATTCCAGTTGCCGGTACGACAGCGTGTTGCCGACTTAAAAGGTTTAAAGAGCGCCGGTGCAATATATATCGCACGATGAATGGTGATAACGGACCGGTCCATTGTCCTTGAAACGGAAAGGGTATTTCCCGTGTGGTTCAGGATCCTTCGTAATTTCGAATATAAGAGCCGACTCGCGGATTTCACGATTTCTTCCTTACGATCGTAAAAAATCGCCGAGCCGCTCGCTTATTTCCCGTCTGGCCGAACGGTTTACGAATATAACCCGGTGAGCTGTGGATATAAAAACAGCATAAGTAAAAGGAGCATTTTCGCGGAGAATAAAATTCAGGATTCCGCTCATGCAATCCCTCTTCCCTGCCTTTCAAAAAAAAAGAAAAAACTAAAGCCGCTCTATTAAATTTAAAGAAAAAAAGGTACATATATTTTGCTCTTTTTGCGTGTTACACGAAAAAGATACGAGCTAACCGACATGGTCCGGTCTGTTGCAGTCTTGGTTCGCATCGCGAAGCGGAAGGAAGATGCGTCTTTGTATTGTACACAGTACGGCTTTGGCGAACACGTTCTCTCCATATGTTCCTTTCGATTCAGCCCGCCGCCTTATCAGACCTTAGCTCGCGCAAAGCGCAGTTACCCACGTATCGAATGGCCGAACGATTCATCCCTTCGATGATCAGATATTCAGAAAGTTTGGGCAGAGACGGCTGGCTGCGAAGGAGGGGACGACCGTGGCGAGGAGCGAGTTTATCAAATTTCATAAACGGCCAACGATACAGCGATTCAATGACTACACGTCCTTGGGGAATAAAAAAAATCGCCGAATCACGTTAGAGGTCTACGATGATAACCGCATTCATCGAATTAATTCTTTCCATACTTTTGCCGAGAATGGAGACCATCGATCGCTTCGAAGAATGAAAATTTAAAACGATTAAAATAAAAATTAAGTCCGTTTAGAATTTAGAACAGTCCCATCGTGTTATGATGTCAGAGATAACGTAGATATTTTTTTTATAAACACTGGGCGTTTATATGCAGATGTGCTAAATATGATAATAAGAGTTTATATTTGCTAAGGAGAAAATTGCAAAGGAAAATTAGCGGGAAGATAGCGCATCGAAATATCGCATAAGGACGCTAGCTAAATTAACAGCTCGATGAGACAGATTTTATCGTAGAAACCGTTCACGTCGGAACGATTAAAACGACCGTCGACACGCCAGACAAGGTTTTATTTCGGCAGCGGGCCAATTGAGACGGTAGATAAAGAGCTGGTCAATATCATACTGACCTCATTGACGTCGTCGTAAAGCTCGTGTGGGCATCGACTAACGATCGTTTTCGAGGATCTTATTTCCGCCGGTAAAACAAGAGGGAACAACGTGTCTTTTATCTTTCCCATATTCCCCCGGAGTTCCTCGTACTAACCAATCTTTCTCTACCATTACCGATTCTTCCGGTCGTTCACGGACTTAAGCCTTGTCTCCAATGGGATATTGTGCAACTCCGCATTTCACTTTTTCTTACATTACCGTTTCCGTAGGCAACAATGAGCGATTCTAATCTCGTAGAAAATTAATTCCGACAATTGTCGAAGAGATACGCGAGGATCCCTATGTTCGCAAAAACGTCGAGTGGTGCGAGTCGGAAATTTGCCGAAAAAGATCCATCGGCTAATTTATTTACCCTCTCGTACCTCTGATACATATATGCACTGGCTACAAAAAAATCATAATTTTCACAAATATAAACATGTGACAGCGGTTGACTCATTTAAGGAAATTAAGGGAAGTTATACTTATAAAAAAAATTGTTAAATACATAATTTAAATATAATTATTAATAAAAAAATAGTATATTTTCAACAGAAATATAAAAATATTATGAAGACAATGAGTAATAATATTTCATAAAAATAAATATCTACAGATTTTTGAAGGCTCTGCTTCATTTTAATTTCAGATTAGTAACCAGCCATCGCGAAAATTCTTATAACAATACTAATTTTAGTATCACTTATAACAGAGATTACTCTGAAGCACGAAAGGGTTAAGATATAGATAATATCCCGATAATATACAGAAAAAACATCATCATTAGACAGCACAATAATCTTTAGCGCGAACTAACGAAAAAAAAAATGCAAGAATAATATCAAAAACCAGATTTCGGAACGACCTGAATTTCACATGGATGGTCGTTCTTTCGCATTATATACGCGACTTATTCTCCTGATAACACAGAAATATCATTATCTCGATAACACTGCGGTGTTGTTTACATTCGAACTGGAAATAATCGATTCAAAGCAAGCTGAATAATCATCCGACGCGGAACAACGTCGACTAACCGATCCGTATCCTCGACGCTCGCACGCTCACATACGCGCGCGCCCACGAACCCTCCTAACAATTCTAAAACCAGACGAAGCAGTCGAGTCGGTGCTGAAGCACGTTCGTGCACCTGCTAAATGATGCAAATACTAATAATGGCGCAGAGTGAAACGTTGGATAATTGAAATGTAAACATCACGCCGCCATCCACCCCTGTCCGGGGAGAGCGCCGGATGAGTTTGCGGGCTCAGCCTGTTACGAACGTCGAGGCCAAAAGACCGAGAAGGAGATAACAGGGAGATTGTCGGGGACCAAGACTCGAAGAGAGAGAACACGCTGATGTAACACACGCGCACACGTGTTTCCGCCTTTGCTACAAGAGACGTACGTACGTTTTGACGCGCCGAGACTGACAGGCAGAACGATTAATCTCTGGAACGCGCGCGCCGCGTGGCTCAACAATTTGCGTTATTGTTTCGTTCGTGTTATTACGTAGACTATATATTCACCAGATTGATAAAGTTTTGCACAAAACGTTCCGAAGATGATAGAAAGGGAGAGAAAGAGAGGGAGAAAAAGAGAAAGAGAGAGAGAGAGTCTTTCTCTCTTGTTAAACGCGCGTATATCGTTACTTCTGATAAAATTTCGAGTGAACGTTCCCTCGGCTTTCTCGCCGAGAGGAAGTCATTGTTTAACGCGACTTTTCCGAGCACAACGGTGAAAAAGAACGAAATAACGAGAGATCCCATCAGCGTTCCAGCCCGGGAACCTACTCTTTTCCCGCTCTCAAAGGTCTCGAGCAATCGCGCAAAATAGAAACGACGAAAATGTCTTAACGGTCGTAAGTTACCGAGATATCCGGAATATTCGGCGGCTCGTATGCGTGGCCGTAAATGTAATGGGGAGGGAGGGTATAGTTATCAGCCGTTTGGACAGTTATTGGCCACTCGGGTTTACGAACTCCTAATTAGGATAATGACTATGTTTATGCCGTTTCCCGGCGATCCGGCGGGAGAGGAGCCGGTTGCCGTCCGCCGTCTGATTTGCGACGGGATCACCCGAATGCGCACCGATATAATAATTAACAGTCTTCCGCTGAAGAAACCACCCCCCGAGGTCCCGCTCTGGAGCCGCACCTTCTCTCGTTTCGGCCGTTTGACTTTACTCCCACGCATCCCTCTCTCCGTCACTCCCGAAAGGCCCATTCTCCGACACTTCCATTCAAAGCCGTGCAAATCGGAAGAACAGTAGGAACGCGGTTTTTTACTTGACTTGTCAATAAAAGAGAGAACGGAACGCTGCTAATTATGCGGCCGCCAGCGGGAGACAAAGCGAGCGAAAGGGAATATAGTAGGAGAGATTGATTCGAAGCGGACGGAGCCGAGTATCGCGCATGATCCTCTACGCCCTCTACGCTCGTGGGGCTCTCCATGGGGTGGTTGGGATCCACGTGGCGCAACACGGTGCTGTCAGTCGCGTCCAACGAGCCAAACGCGTATCACGTCCCCCAGCAGACTGATTTGACGCGTTTCGCGATCGCTCTGCCTCGATAAGAGCGAACTATATAGTCGCTCCTCGTCGGTGCTGTTCATCCGTTACCAATCGGCCCCTCGCCCGTTAACGCTAGTGTCGGAATACGAGCGACAATAAAAAGAAAAAGAAGAGAGAGATAGAAGGTAAGAGACGCTTCGATTGTTATATTATGTATATTATCGTATATTTCGCGAATTCTATCGTTCTAAAGATCTGCCCGGCGTAAACGAAATATAAGCAACTAGACAGAAGGCGAAACCGTTGCCTTGAATGGTGATTTTGATCATTAATCTCCGTCCCATGTTTTCCGGATTTTTCTCGACAAACATCTCGGCAGATCTCTCAGTGGCGGCCGCACGCGTGCGGGGAAATAACTCCGCGAGCGCGTACTATAATGCGGTCCGGATTAAATAAAGCGGAGCGCGAAACATCGCAATTATACCTCGCAACTCTCTCCGCTGTATTTATTCGCTCGGGTACCGTCACGGTGGCTTTTACTAGCTTTACTTTTATCACCGAGTCTCATAATAATGCCTTCGCAACCCTCATAATATTTTCTCCCGACTAAATTTCCACGATAAAGCGAAAGTTCCTCCCTCGCGCATAAACGATGCCGTCACTCTCTCTCTCTCTCTCTCTCTCTCTCTCTCCCGGAGCATAATTAAAATGTACGGTGGTAATGCGCGAAGTCGGTTGTCCAGCAAATAGCGGCACGTTTGTCATTAGAACGTCATGCGTTCGGCGGAGGCAAATGTGTCGCACGTGCGAACCGACAACGAAACTAATCAATCGGCATCCACGGGCGCGAGGCTGAAAAATGGAAAAAAAAAGGGGTAAAAGCGGTAAAAGCGGAGGAGAGAGAAAGATGGAGAAAGTATTTTGCGCGAGCCGTCCGGTTACACGTGCTATAAATTACCGACATGCCCTCGGCCGTCAATAACTTTTTTCACCGTTAATTCCTCTGTGTCGCGTTAATGAGAGCCGCTTTGCGCGCTTCTCTGTCCGGGGAATTAATTAATTTGAGTAACCTGGTTAAAAATGAAAGACACGCACCACCCGGTTGAACACAGGACCGCGCGATCGTTTCACGATTCGTTAGTACGACGGTCCGTTCTCCCGGCAAAGCGAGTACGAAATGCGGTGGCCGGTGAAAATTAATTTACCACTCGCGAATATTCCATTGATGTAAGTTCCTTTCGGCCGCGTACATTAATACGCATGATGTTGAAATCGTCGAACGCACGATAAACCGGAATATTCGTATTAATCAATTATATTCTAACTTTTCGACAAACACACGATGTCTGTCCGCGAAAATACATGCGGAGCGTGTGTCGCGCGAAAATGCGTTAACTCGTTGCAAAATGAGTTACGCAATAGCGAGTTGGGATATAAATTGAGTTTATAACGTTATTAACAAACTGTCGAAAGTCAATATACACAGATATCTTGTCAACTGCAAAATTTCATATCGCCGCCGGAGCTGTATCTCTCTTCCGTAGCCACCTGGACATTTTCTGAATAATTCATTTTTGCCCAACGAGCTATAATATATTGACACACGATCTCGCATCGTCATGCATAATGAAGCTTAATTAATCGACTTTCTTTGTGACGAAATAATTTCCGTAATTATTTTCGAGCGCGCAAAAGCAGCGGGATAATTTTAACCGATGAAATTTACGCGATATTGGTATTACGCCCTGAAATACTTCGTTACTTGAAGAGGCCTCGCTGATGTTCGGCCGTAACACGTAGGATCTCGTGCATCGTGCCGTTATATCAATTTAATTCCATCAATACAGAGCAAGTCACATGGGCAATGACCGAGCTGTACTAATATATCGGCGGAGGATGTATTTGTAATTAGCGAAATTGACGATTAAACGTCGGATCTCGACCGACTGGCGGGCGCACACGCGAACATTTAAATGAACATTTAAATGAACTTTCACTTCCTTCCGCGAGATTAAAATTAAAAAAAGAAATAAATAAATAAAGCAGCCTCATCCCGTTAAAATAATTAAATAGAGATTCGCGTGTGTCCGCGCGCGGGTGAAGTTGCAAACGAAGTTTTAATTCCGCGTGCGTGTGCGGCGCGTGATGTTCTGAAGTCCCTTTATGCCGCGTCGCTTAAAACGACATTTACGTGCACTTTCCAAATGAGCGGATATACGAACAACATTATCCGTAAGAGGGTTAGCATTATGGCCGGAAGGGTTTGCAAGGGAACTTCACCTTTAAAGGCGCTTCCTTATCATGCCACGGAATATTGTTTGGTCGTAAATCTTTCGCGCAGCTACGCGCTCGTTCAATTAATCCGTAAAACGAGCATCGTCAACAGAAATTTATACGTCACTTAAACGCTACACGGAAGATAATATGAGGTCCAGCTAAAGTCTCAGAAATTAATCTTAACAGAAATCAGTTCGATCGATAATAAATAATTTTCGTTCCTCGGAGAGTCGCTCCCTTCCATGTTCGGACGCAAACAATCTGGCTGACTCGAAACGCACCGTTTCTTCGACGCGCTAATGCTTCAAGCATTAATCGTTTCATTAATCTAAACGATTCCGTCGCGTGAGAAGATAAAATGAGGATACGAAATATAAACTCTGACGCAGGGACTATTATACGACGGCAGAAAACCGCCCAAAAGTGTTGCACACGCCGAAATTTGCGAACGCCACCGTCAATTTTTCCTTTTTTTCCACCGTCTTTTTCGAGGATTGCGATATTTTTTTTTTTTTCGAACACGCGACCCTTTGTGCACTTGCCCTTCCATTCGAGCGGCTTGCACTGATTGGTTTCGTAACCACCGGCCTGTGAAACAAATATATCGCATCATAGTTAAAAAGAGAAAAACAAGAGCGACAAGATCGCTCTCTGTCGAAACGACAAACAACGCGCTTCGAGCTCTCCGAAAGCTATTGCTTGACAAGGTCAATTACTGTAACCGCGGCTGACCATACCGCAACCCCGAAAGAAATTGTCAAAAACCCCGGAAACGTCAACTCGTCTGAAACGGAATTTCAGAGATCTAAAATAACAAGAAAAATAAAAAATATTATTTATAGATTTCACAATTACACTGAGAGAAAATATTTAATATTTGTAATTACAGTCATCATAGTGAAAGACTTATAGCCGGAAACCCCAATTTTCCGGTAAATGTTACTATAATGTCAGCAATAATGAAATAAAATTATAAACATGTTATTATAATTTTTGCGACTAAAACTATAAAAAGTTTATAGTTGACACCGAAAATGACTGTAATTTCTCTCAGTGCATTATTAAATAATTTTTTCTAAAAGTTTGTTTTACTCCGGCAGACGATTCGAGTTTCACAGATCAAATTCGCGCATAATCGAAACAACAGTCGTAATAATCGGCTTCGCGATTTTTCAACATAGTCTCATCTTTTAGCGCATTATTTCCTCTTTTACCTTGTAATAACACTGTTGATATAGTATTTTTAATATGTTTACGAAGCCGAGCGTAAAAGAGCTGCGAAAGAGGAAGAAGTGGGAGCGGGCTAAGCAACGCCGCTTCTGGTTTTGATAGGTCGTCTGTATGTGACGTTTCGATAAACAGTCACAGCTTATATAGGCTCACTGTATGCGCTGTTGCACGCGCGTGGATCACGACGAAACGAAAGCCGTCGTTTCGCTTCACGATTTGGATCGCTATGGAGAGAAAAAGAAGAGGAGAGGAGAGAGAGAGAGAAAGCAATTTCATTATGTTTCGCCCCGGATTTAGAACAGAAACGGTTTCATATTAATCCAACGCCCTACGCATTTGCCGATCAAAGCTGAATAATCTATATACACGTCACATCCAGGAAGTTAACCGCGGCACATCATCCTACCTAATTTTAACTCCAGCCCGAACTTCGATATACATAACGTGTCGCATACTATTGCTTCGCGTGTGTAACGAGTCGTACGACTAAGCGGAAAAGTAACGGCGCAAATAATTTTTCCGTATATTTCATAATTTTATTTATTTTTTTTAATTTTAATATATTCTGTAATGAGTTTTTCAAGCACGCTAGTTATGAACGATAAATGCGCCGACGGCCGTAAACATGCGCATGCTAATTACTATCGAGTTTCCAATCGACGTTTCCATCGGACGAGTGGGACGACGGCGGCGGGTAGTTTCATCGGGAACGCGGCGTTGATGAAAACGGGCGCGTTGATTGACGTGGCGCATTAACGCAAATTAACGGACTGCGACGACAATCCGACGGACATCGGTATCGCACCGGGTGGCGCGATATAATGCTCGCGCAAGATCAGAGAGAAACAAAAATTTCGCAAGTTTGATCGCTCAGGGGATCGCAAACTTGACACCGCGTTGCGCAATAACTCTCGGCCGAATTTTTGCATCGTTATTCGCGACCAACTCCCCATCCCATCCTCGCATAGAAATTTTCCCGTATGCAGCATATACTGATGGAAAATTATAGCTAGTTTCGGCGCCAAACATATCCTTTAATCACAAAAATAGCTAGGAGAATGTTTTCCAGATCATTTTTTCTAGTAAGTCTACTAGAAGTATATTATAGCATTATAGCGTCAGCGATAATAATCTCACGTTGCGCATTATAAAATATGTTTGACGTCGAAACTAACTATAATTTTCTATCGTTGTAAATTCCGATTAGAATACCCAAAGTAAGTTATTCCACTACGATACCAATTGGGAATTTCACCTCTCCCAGGTAGCACATATTAGTTTCATATACGTTCTTTAAATATATGTAACGTTTCATAATCGTATTATATACGTTTGAAGAACGTACGTAAAAGAGATTAATAAACGGTTATATCTTAATGTTACTATGCTTAATAGCAGGCGCGTAACATATGCGGTATATAAAGTATACTTGTGGAAAGCGTGAATACTTAAGATGTTTCCGTATATTTTGTTCAATATATAGCGTAAAATGGAAGAAAGAAAAACATCTCTGGGAAAACGTTGGGGATGGCTGAATAAGATCTACTTACTTTTCCCATTTAGAATCTTGTGCACGAAACATCGCGCTTTTTAAACAGAAACTACGTAAATTTCCCAAAGAATCCCCACTAGAATCTTCGTTACTTTGGGAAATCAGACTGGATGCCAATTAGATACG